ATATTTTTACCAGGAATTTATAGGCATGCTTATTATACAATACCTTAGAATACAGTTTGCATTAGAATCCTGTTTTATCAAAAATCATATCAAAAAAATGATCTCAGGTTTGTTTTACACCATTTTATTCTAAGTAAGAACAAACATACTGTAAAATATTTAGTAGTCAAATAACAATTGCTTTTGTTCAAATTCTTGGTCATTTTTATTACAGATTTTCTTAATGATTCATAGAATTTAAATATGAAAAACGTGTCTGTGCTAAGAACAGCAAAGTTTTTCAGTTTATCATGTTTTTGTTCTTACTAGTAGTTTTGTTTTTCTTTTGTGACCATGGAATTTACTTTCTTTTATAGAGTTCAATTTGCCAATCTAGTCCAATCTAGTCCTCTCTAGCTTTCAGGTTGACAGAACCTTGAGACTAACTTCCTAGGCCTAGAGCTATACAAAAACTTCCATCATAACTTTTTTTGGGGGTGGGGTTGTGACAGGATCTCCCTGTAGCCTCAGCTGGCTTGGACCTGGCTATGCAGATCAGGGTAGCCAACATCTCACAGTGATCTGCCTGCCTCTGCTTCCCAAGTACTGGGATTAAAGGCATGCACCACTGTGCCTGGCTCATCATAACTTTTTTTTTTTTTTGGTCTTTTTGAGACAGGGTCTCCCTGTAGCCTCAGATGGCCTGGAACTCACTAGGTAGACCAGGCTGGCCTCAAACTCACAGAGATCCACCTGTCTCTGCCTCCCAAGTGCTGAGATTAAAGGCGTGCCACCACCATGCCCAGTTTATCATAACTTTTAATACTTAACGTTTTGTTGATGTTCATATCCTTTTTCTGTTTAAGATGTATCTTGATATAAGATGTGACATAGGATCTAAGATTTTTTTCAAACAATGGCCAATTATCTCAACATCTTCCTGAGTACATGACATTTATTTGTGCTAGTTTCCTGTACTGCTTCTTGTGTGTCTTTGGGTTGGGCTGCTTGCATGCTAGTACCATAATAATTTAAATACTTAACTTTTTACCTTGTTGTAGTGTCTAGAAGGATGAGTTCTCCATTCTCAAACTTCTGTCGTATCTTTCAACAGCAATGGCAGACTACACTTGGCTAAGCACAAGCTATTTCTTTAGAGTTTTTGCTATCTACTCCTTTCTACAAACAAAGACGGAATCACTTGCTTTCCACTTCCTTTCTCTACTTTTGCTTTCCTAAATCTATTACAGTCCTGAAGGCTCAGTAAATTAGTTTATCACAGTTGTGGAGAATAAATTCTCATTTTAACAACATAAAATGTGGCAGAAGGGGGCTGGAGAGATGGCTCAGGGATTAAGAGCACTGACTGCTGTTGCAGAGGACCTGGGTTCAAATCCCAGCACCCACATGGTGGCTAACAACTGTCTGCAACTCCAGTTTCAGGGGTCCAACACCCTCTTCTGACCTCTGTGGGCACTGCATGTCATGGGTGCATTTATATACATGCAGGCAATACACTCATACATATGAAATAAAAATTTAAAAATGTGACAGAAAATCCCCAAGCTGAGTATCTACTATATCATCCAGAGGGGCAGCAGAGTAATTGGGAAAGTCAACGATCTAAAGAAGTCAGCCTCGGAAGCTAACCTCCTAAAAAGTGCCATGTAAACCAGCTACACAGAGTGCTAAAAATGCCCAATCTGAGTAGAGGGCTGGATGGTGACTCATCTGAGGTCAGACAACTCCAGGCCACAGACAACCGTCACCCTCAGTGACACGGGGGAAGCTTCCCAGGAGCAAAGGCTGAAGCAAAGGATGAAGGACAGAGCTCCCTATTTTTCAGTTGCTACTACGCCAGGGTAGAGAGATGGCACCTGTCTGCTCATGGAGCTTTTGACTCTACAGCCAGTGCGAGGGCCAAGAAACTAGCTCTAATTTTGGCCAAGTCCTGCCATAATGCAGAAAATGAGCTGAGGCCAAACTGTGCTCTGCTGCTGCTGTTGCTCCTTGAGTTTCCTAATCAATGCAGTCCTCCTCCGGGGCGTGCCTCTTGGTTCGGTCATCCACCTCTATCTGCTCAACAGCACAGACCAAGAACAAAAACTCTGCAATCTCTACTCCATTATCTCTGACCCAGATAATCCAGAGGTAATTACTTGGCTCTCTAGGTCTGTGTTTTCATTTTTGAAGTAAATTAATGCTAGTTACCACCTCACCCCTCTGTTGTGATGATTTAGTAAGACAGCTGACATTTTGTTTCTTTACTGCTGGAGTTACATACAGTAAGTGCTCAGTGAGTCAGCCTCTACTACTGGTACATATAATTTGCTGGCAGAGTCAGGCAAGACAAAAAGAAAACTTAAACCACAATGTGATGGCAGAGGAATAACTTTATTTGTTATAAGTCCAGAGAAAAGGTTTGGAGGATAGCAGCACTATTTTCTTATTCAATAGAAGGAATAGATCTGTTTCAATCTCAAGGTTCTAAACCTTTGTAAACACTTAAATGATAATAATATTCATTATTTTTTGCATTGGAAACCTCAAAAGTTTTATCTGCCTCCATTGCCACCATCCGCTTCCTCCGCTATCCACTTAACACAGAGATTTCCCTTTGAGAAATACCCAAGGTGTTTATTATTTATTTTTAAATTATTTTACTTTTGGAAATATGAGTAAAACCTAACAATTTCCCCTTAACTACAGAGAGTTTATTTTCCATGGTTTATCAAAGCAGAATTGTAAAAGCAGCAAAATATATTGTGCCAACCAAGTTTTTGAGCTTCGCAAGCATAAGCAAACACATTTGTTGTCTCAAACCCCAAACAACAAAATGCTATATTAATAGAACAAAGCTGAATACTCTTCAGGATAAATTTAAAACAAGCATCGGACACATAAAGAACCACTGGAGGGAAAGACTGCTTCAGTGATGCTCTTTTCCTGCCTCTGTCACTCACAAGCAAAGAACAGCTAGGGAAGGTCAGGGAAAAGAGTCCAGAAGAGGGGAGCGTGCAAGGACACCTGGCACCCGCGGGCTCCCTCCACACGTGCTGCAGTGCAAACTGACATAGTCTATTTGCAAAAAGAAGAAAGCCAGACAGTCTCAGAGGCTCCACCTCATATCCCACTGAGGTGCTGTGCTTCCTGTCTTCATTGAAAGCTATGCAAATGTTCACATTAATGAATGTCTCAATAGGCTAAGTGATTGAAACAACCTCTTCTCTGGATGTGAAGAAATGGTTTGCTCCACGAAGAATTATTTGTGCTAGTTTCCTGTACTGCTTCTTGTGTGTCTTTGGGTTGGGCTGCTTGCATGCTAGTACCATAATAATTTAGATACTTAGCTTTTTACCTTGTTGTAGTGTCTAGAAGGATGAGTTCTCCATTCTCAAACTTCTGTCATATCTTTCTACAGCAATGGCAGACTACACTTGGCTAAGCACAAGCTATTTCTTTAGAGTTTTTGCTATCTACCCCTTTCTACGAACAAAGATGGAATGATTTCCTTTCTACTTCCTTTCTCTACTTTTCCTTTCCTAAATCTATTACAGTCCTGAAGGCTCAGTAAATGGATTAGTTTAGTACAGTTGTGCAGAATAAACTCTCATTTTAACAACATAAAATGTGAAAGAAGGAGGCTGGAGAGATGGCTCAGGGGTTAAGAACACTGACTGCTGTAGCAGAAGACCTGGGTTCTAATCTCAGCACCCACATGGTGGCTAACAACTACATTCTTAACATTTTCTTGTTTTGAGAAACATGAAATTGACTTGTGATACTAAATGTGAAAGCTGTGAAGACCAGCTTGGACTGACCATAAATGAAGAGGGGAACATGGAGAATGTGGGCTGACACTGTCCATTAGTTCATGACACCATAGCTGTAACACACCCTCCTGAATATCAGACCCCAGATTCCTATTTTCCTTGTGCAGGTCAAACACTAAAATTTTCACTTTATCATTTTTCTATCTGTATGTAAGGACATGACCCTTTATAACCAATCAACATAAAATAAACCAAACTATTGCCTTTTACCAAGGAAAAAAGAAAAATACTTAATTTGAGTAAATGGGAAAGCTTGTGTCATAACAAACTGCAATGATTATACTTACTGTCTTTAAAATCTACCTCTGGGCTGAGGAAGTGGCTCAGTGGGCCAAGTGCTTGCTGTGCAAGCCTGAGGACCTGTGTTCAGAGTTCCAGAATCCACAGATGTGATAGTATGTCTATAATCTCAGAATTCCTAGAGGGAGATGGGAGGCAGAGACAGGGGGATCCTTGGGAGCTCACAGACCAGCTAGCCTGCTGTACACAGCAGTGAACAAAAAGATACCCTGTCACAAACATGGTGGAAGATGAGGGCCAACACCTGAATCTGTCCTCTAAAACTCACACACACACACACACACACACACACACGCACACGCACACGCACATGCACGCACACCATGGCACGTACATGCCTACACTGGAGACACAGTAACATACACATACACATCACACATATACAAGATAAAAGTCTACCTTAGATGAAATAAATTGACTTAAATACTGAAATAGCTGCAAAAAAAGTCTCAGTACTGCTAAAGCCATTCTAAATATACATGATCTTGGAGTTACATGCAGTTAGAAATTTCTTGAGGTTTATAATAATGACACAGACTTTATCCCAGATAAATATAACAAATGAACTTATTCTACTTGATGCAAGTTCATAGGTAAAATGAAAACCTAATTCTGAAGGAAAATATAAAGAGCTAAGTTACTGTCATTCTCACTGTACCGGAACATCTGAGATGAACTCTATGTATGATGCCCACTGCCTCTTTCCAAGTCACATCTTTCAAAGCTACACTTCACGTCCTGACACCAAAATGCCTCAGGTCATGCCTACACTTTTGTATTAAATTAAAGAGCTGTGATTATGGCCATCAGTCTTAACAATTCCCATGAAGGCATGCATCTTCTTGCAGTCAGGGGGAACAGCCAGGCTGGCCCCCACAGAGTACGCACCTTCACATTTCTGAGTAGTTTCACTCTGTTTGTGACCAGCGGGGCATCTGCATTCAAAAGAGCCCACTGTGTTGATGCAGTTTCCTCCCTGGCATAGTCCTGGAATTGCCTGGCATTCATCAACATCTGCAAGAAGAAAACATTGTAAACATAAGCAACACTGATTTTCAGATTACGTCTCAATTTTTCTTTAATGTATAGGAAAAAAGTTCTCAGGGCACTGAGCTGAGGAAGCAGATCCTCTCTGCTTGTCTGCTTGTTATTTACTGTAGGTAACTGGTATTATGCCATAAGGCACCTTTTGTCTTCTTTTTATTTTAAACTTTCCTCTGAAGTTCCATCTGTGTTGTTTCGTGGACACTCTGTTGCTCTGATTTGTTACAGAATACTTCCTAATGTGCGTTCTCCTGGTCTGGGCACCCAGCTTATCCCTGCCTTTTCAGCACCCAGTGAATGGTACAGAGTGTTTCCTTATGGATATGAATGGCAAAGGATTTTGAGAATTGAGAGAGCCTCTAGCCTCCTCCTTAGACCCAGAGCAGAAGCCCTAGACCACAGGGCATTCAGACACCTCTACAAATAAAGAAACCTGATGTCCTTCAGCATGTCCGCAGCAGCCCACCCACCTCCACAATTTACAGGACTCCCGTTTCCCCTCTTTCCTGCTACTCTTTTCCACGTCTCACTACTGCTGTCTAACATCTTCGTTTTCCTTGATCTGACAACTGGAAAAACATATTATTTTACCTTTTATTACTCTAATTACTAGTCACTATGCTTATTATATTTTGGATTTCCTCATCTGAAGGTTGTAAATTTATAGCCCTTAAAAGAATTATATTTTAGCTGGGTGTGGTGGCATACACCTTTAATTCTAACACTTGGGAAGCAGAGACAACTGGATCTCCATGAGATTGAGGCCAGCCTGGTCTACATAATAAGAGCTCCAGACCAGCTGGGGATATAAGGAAATCCTGTCCTAAAACAAACAAACAACCCCCCAAACCAAAATAATAACAAAAGAATTATATTGGGGTTGGCAGCCTTTTATATAAAGCCTTGTTAGTTTGAAATACTGCCATGATACTTCTCATTCTTAAATTATTTTTTGTTTTTATTATTTTATTTTATATTTGATTTGCTTTGTGTATGCATGTATTGCCTGCATGTAAGTCGGTGCACCCGTGTCGTGCAATGCCCGCGGAGGTCAGAAGAGGCTGTTGGATCCCCTGGGACTGGAGTTAGAGACAGTTGTTAGCTGCCATGTTGGTGCTGGGATTTGAACCCAGGTCTTCTGCAAGAACAACCAGTGCTCTTAACCACTGAGCCGTCTCTCCAGCCCCTATTATTTTTATTTTATGTGTATGTGTGTATTGCTTGTGTGTAGGTAAGTGCACCCATGCCGTGCAGTGGTCATAAGAGGCTGTTGGATCCCCTGGAACTGGAGTTATGGACAGTTGTTAGATGCCATGTGGGTGCTGGGATTCAAATCTGGGTCTTCTGCAAGAACAACCAGAGTTCTTAACCACTGAGCCATTCCTCCAGCCCGATACTTCTCATTATTTATAATGTGTAATTTCACTCATTTAAAAACAAGTGCTGGGGGGCTGGAGAGATGGCTCAGCGGTTAAGAGCACTGACTGCTCTTGCAGAGGACCCGGGTTTGATTCCAAGCACCCACATGGCAGCTAAAAACCATCCTTAACTCCAGTTCCAGGGGAATCTGAAGCCCTCTTCTGACCTCCACAGCACTGCACAACACAGGTGCACTCACATACATGCAGGCAACACACTCATACACATAAAATAAAAATAATAAAATATTCAAAATAAATTTTTTAAAAAGTGCTGGAACTGGAGAAACAGTTCAGCAGTTAAGGGCACTGGCTGCTCCTGCAAAGGACAAGGGTTCGATTCCAGCACCCATATGGCAGCTAACAACTATCCGTAACTCCAGTTCCTGGGGAATCCAACAACCTCTTCTGACCTCCACAGGCACTTCATGACAAGGTGCATTTACATTCATACAGGTGATACACACACACACACACACACACACACACACAAACACACGCACACACACAGAGAATAATAAAATACTAAAAGCAAATATTGTCTTTAATATTGCCACAATGAAACTTAATCAAGCTACAATAAAGATGTCTGACAAGTAAAAGGGAAGACTTTCTAAGAAATGTTAAGAATTCTTTAGGCAAAATAAAAGTGTGATGGATATTGTAAATGTTATTCAAAATGAAAGGCACTGGAAATAGTAAATAGGTTGAGAAATGGAAAGTATATTTCTCTTACTTTTTTTGTAAGCTTAAAAGATGATTGATTTAGTCAGGTATGGTGGCACATACCTTTAATCCTAACTTTGGGAGATGGAGGTAGGCGAATATCTATGAGATTGAGGCCAGCCTAGCCTACGTAATTCCAAACCAGTTGGGGCTACAGGGAGATCCTGTCTCAAAATAACAACAACAACAACAACAACAACAAGATAACTAATTGCTACGAACAACAATAATAAGTGTAATGCATATTTTGTAGGTTATAACTATGTAAGTAAAAAGTAAAACAATAGATGTAAAACAGGACAGCACTGAAGAGACAAGTGAAGGAATACTATCCTTAGTTAATTACACTGTAGTAGAGATGGCAGGTTAGTATTTGAAAACACACTGAGGTAAGTATATATGTATAGATAAATACTACAAAGTAAACAGGCACAGCTAATAATCCAGTTGAGATAAAATTCAATGCAAATGTATATTCATTTAACCTAATGGAGGCAGACCACAGAAGTACAAGTGGCTGGGAAAAACAGATTTAAGCACAATAATGTTCTTAATTACATGAAATTTAAAGGGTTTAATAATCCAGTTAAAGAGGCTGAGATTATAATTAGTTTTTGAAACACCAAGTCCCAATTTTCCACTTTTTGCAAGAAACCTATCTGACAGCTTAAAAGTAAGATATAAAAGGTAAGTACCCACTATCAAAAGAAATCCGGGGAAATCTCTTAACAGTGTGCAATTACAAATCCCAAGAAATATCACCAAGGATAAAAGCTGACATTTTATAATGACCAAGGACTCAGTCCCTTAAGAAGAAATAATAACGCTAATAGTATATGTCTACCTTGAAACATAAAACATCTGGAACAAACAGAACTTCTGCATTCAGAATCAGAAATGGGCTGCAGAGATGGCTCAGCAGTTAAGAGCATTGGCTGCTCTTACAGAGGACTCCAGTTTGGTTCCCAGAACCCACGTGGTGACTAACAACCACCTGTAACTCCAATTCCTGGAGATCTGACATCCTCTTCCGGAACCACAGGCACTGCACACACATGCTGCACTTAACACACGTGCAAGCAAAACATTCATTCACATACAATAGAATTAAATAATAAATTAGATTTAAATGTATTTAAAGAAGTATAAATAGATAATAGCAAATCCACAAATAGAGTGGAGATTTACACACTCATGTCTTTGTAACTAGTACACCAATGGACTCAAAATTCTAAAAGGAGGTACAAGATTTACAAGTTTCTCTCAACTTGTCCTAACTGATATTTATAGAACCCATTGTGCACTTCAGCAGAACAGACATTCTCATCAAGTGCACACAGAATACCCATCCTGGCAGACTACAAATCCTGAGATCATGTAGTAAGGTTCATTAAACATATAAAAGTTGTTGACAGAATGCAAAAGATTCTGGGTTTCCATCCCCAGAACCAAAAATTCTTCTTGGGAGTGTTTGTCAGGAGAGTCCACGTCCAAAGTAACATGTGAGAGTCTTTGTGGGGGTTTTGAGTGTGATTTTGTCTGTGTGTTTCTGTGTCTGTGTGTGTGTATACATGTGTGTGTGTGTGTGTGTGAAAATCACCCAAAGTAAGCTATTTAAGCATAACAGTTAAAATAGGAATCAGCAATGGGAAACATGTGGAACAACCTCAGATATCGGAATTTAAACAATATACCCCGCAATAATGCATGGGTCAAAACAAATCACAAGGAAAAGTAGAACATATCTTTAATGATACTAAAAATACACCATATAAAAATGTGTGGATACAGTTAATCTGTTACCTAAAGGCAAATATATAGCATTAGAATGTTTTTATTGCAAAATGAGTAGTTCTTAAATCGGTGATCTAAGTTTCCACATTCATAAGTTTAAAGAGTGGTGGTTAAATGTGAAGTGAATAAAAACAAGTTAATATAACAGAATATAAAACAAAAACAATAGACATAACTACTACAAAATCTAGCTTTCTGAAAACACAAGTAAAATTGATGTGTTTTGCCAAGACTAATCAAGAAAAAAGAATAAATTAAATTATCAATATGAAATACATCACCACAGATTCTATGAAGGTGAAAAAGATTAAAAAGTAATTTATGGCACTAAATTCAAGAATTAAGGTGAAATATGCAAGTTTACTGAAAGGCTCCCTGAATAACATATAGATTTTAGGAATAAAGGCCATATATTAAAGTAATTTAATTCACAGTTTAAAACCTTTACACAAAGAAACGCCATGCTTCTGTAGATTTAGGGAAGAAATGACACAGGTTCATATATATTCTCATAGTAAAAAGATGAGACATTGTCTTACCTGTTTATTAAGATAACATCAGCCTGGCATCAAAGCCAGACAAAGATGTCACCAAAACAAAAACACAAACAAAAGGAACAGAACAGGATAACCTCTCTCTGGGGCAGGCATACAAAAATTTAAGAATCTAAGCCTAATAATATATAACAATGTTAGTGTACCAGGACCAAGAGAGGTTTATCATAGGAATTGAAGGGCACTCTTAAGAGTATACTGAAATATTAATCAATATAATTCATCATATTAAAGAAGAAAAACCCATAGGATCATCCCTTAGACATAGAAAACCACAAGTTGACAGAATTCAATTCCTAGTCATGATTTTCAAAATCTCACTAAACCAAGAACACTATGTGATTTTGTTCATTTGATAAAAGTTAGATGTGAAAAAAAGAGAACAAAACTAAAGCAACAAAATACAGTTAACAAGCTCTACAGAAGATTTAAAAATCCTCTGCTTTACAGTTTTTGAAATTCTACATCCTCCCTTGCT